GTGAATGTATTCGGTTGTTTTTGCATCGATGGGCGGCTCAGGTTTGTTGTTTTAGCTGTCCGAAATGTCCCGAACAATTAGATAGTCAATAGCTTTTGGTCCAGGTCCCACATACAAACGCTAGGTTGTACTCAAAGGGAGAGTATGTTTTAGGGTGATAAACATTGTAGTTTTAAAACACAATTTTGGAACTGTATTCACAATAGCTTCTGTTGGATCACAATACATACATTTTTATTTTGATACCTGATGTTAGTAACAGGAAACAAATAGTTTGAAATTGAATTATGATACAAGGGGCGAAAGAATAGAAAATACTACCGAATACACAAGAATGAAATGTGATCATTTATCGGGCAATTCCATAATATATACGGTATTAATCTGCTTCGGTATAGGGCTAACATGGCGGCAGTATTTCGAGACTTTATACAACGTTCTGTCTTTTTCATTGAATATCTTTAATTATTGGTAGTGCAGTTAAATGCTTCTAACACTACCGCAGATAAGCCTATAGTATTAGAAATTATGTCAATAATAAATGCCAAACACGACAACTAAGACTTGATTGATCGATTGATTGATCGATCGTTAGATTGAATGCATGTTTAAATAATAATTTCATTATTAAAACTGATAAAATTTTAAAATGTTTTATGGAGTAATTGACTTTTAATTGATCGTTAATTGAATATTATAAAGCTTTATTCACACTATCAAATTTTATGTGATAAATTTGTGTGGGCATGATGATGTCATATTACACCCAAATATGGGCATAGCACATTTATGTGTCACATAGTGTGAACAGAGCTTCAAAATTGAAATGTTGTAGTTCAGTTGAATTAATGTTTTTGTCTTACCTGAACACAACACTGTCTGAACTGTCCTTCCCCATGTCTGAAAAAATATGTAAAATTTAATAATTTTTCTTTAATATAATATTCAAATTTAATTAATCAAATTATGCATTATAATTAAAAAGTTTATTATATTTGTAGTTACGGATAATCAATGATTTATTGATTGATTTTTACTTGGAATTTTGAGTTCTTAAATAATTCTCAACATAGAGACATAGTAGCATATTGTACAATTACTCTTTATTTCAAAATATATAAAATTACAGAGATTGGTACATATATAACGAATTAAAATTAAATTGCTGGGTGACGAGTGTTCCACATTGTGTTAAATCCAATTAAGGGTACTTCAGTTATTTTATTTTATTTTATTTTATTAATTGCTTTACAGACGTAAAACTTCTCTTAGTCTACATTCCTTGTCCTGAGAAATTCATTTTCTAGCACGAATTCCAGGCAAAATTAGTTTGCAATGAAACCCCTTATTCATGATGACACTAACTAGATTATGTTTACTAGTTTTATATTCATGGGCCTTATTTATATTAGGTTCAAATAAGATAGTTAACTCTAATATCTGTTGATTCGGTGGCTTCGTCGTAAATAAATATAGGCTTTATATTATGTTAAAGGTACCAAGTGAATAAATAACTTTGTTTGACAAGTGACTAGTATGCTTAAGAACGATGGAATTCACTAGAGAAATATGAACAAGTACATTTCACAGGATTAAATGGAATGGCATCGAATGAATACGAAGATGACAGACGATATTAACGATGGTGTCGTCATCGTCGTGTTTTGTCTTAGAAATGAATTTTGTGTAAAAAAACTAAATGTAAGTGTGTTAGTTGCATTGTCTCACACTTTATATCTACTAAAGATCAAACCCCTAAGGAATATAGGAGCTCTGTTGTTATCATTTTAAATGTACAGGTTGTAATAGTGATTATATTGGTAAGATAGATAGATGCTCAGGGAGGCGGCTCCCCCCCCCCCCAATACAAATTCTTTCCTGGGATCACTCAAATGAATACTGTACTTCTAAACATGTAAATATGCATCAGTACACGTTATATACAGGCCTAATAGAACACATA